GAAATGCCCCTCACAGCACACACCGAACCAGAGATGCTGACTGAACTGAACCCAACCCAAAAGAAGGAGTGGGGAGAGGGGAGGCTAAAACACGCAGGAGAGACAGATAATTCAAATGCTACTTCTCCACCGACAGTTTTGAAAGACGTCCCCCTCCCTTCCATACTCAGCCCATGCAGTAAAAGCAAACAAAACAAAAAACCAAAAAACACACATATGCACAAAAATACCTCGGTTCAAACTCTCCCTGCCTAGAGCACAAGCCACGGAATTCACCGCTGTGCACTATCCCGTGAGAAACGCAGATAGGGGTGGACGGGTTTCCAAGGAACCAGAACTCAGCTCTGCGGAAACCTGTGGAAGGACCCCGAGGAGGAAAGATGCAGACAAGGCATGAACGAGGGCTGGGAAACCCATCAGCACGTTCCTGCAGCTGAATCTGTAGTCAGCAGACAATACGTGGATGGTGCTGACATCCGACCACTTAGAACGAAACTCCATTCCGCGCTCATGAACCTATTAGATGAAAAGTCCTCAATTCAGATAACTGCAAATTGCTTTCTGAGCATAATTTCCTATTAGTTCGCTAATCTCTCTATTCAGAACGCCAACAAGACAGCTGATGATAATTCCGGAGGAAGTGGCCATTAAGCTGAGGCAGGAGGAAAGGGGGTTAGACGTTCACAAGTATCCTGGCTTCCTGGGTGGGGGGGGTACCCCAAAATTAATCCGTGAAGTTAGTAACAGTATTAGCTTTCGTTTATGAAGTTCTTATAATCTGCCAGGTACAGACTGAGCATTTTACCTTACGTATTAGCTCACTTAATTTTTGTTTTGTTTATTTGTTTGTATTTTTGTTGTTTTTTTAAACTGATAAGAACAGATACTACACTTGATCTTAGCCAAAAGGCCGAGAAGCGATTTGTTGTTTTTTTAAACAGTTGAGTGAGGTAGATATTTTTTGGACAGGAGAAGAAATGGGGCTCAGAAGTGGTCACACAGCTATTCGTGGAAGAGTCAGGATTCAAATGCAGGCGTGTGTGTCTGACCTACAGCCTGGGTTCCAGTCATGCCTTATCTGTTTGGCTTATCACACAAATATTACCGGAGAGACGATGATGAAGAAGAATCAAGTTTATAGGACTGAGGCCAAGAGATGAAACACGGCACAAAAGCCTGAAAAATAGTGAGCAAAGATCGACCAGTCTGTAAAAACAAAAAACAAAAAAACAAAACCACAAAAAAACAACAAAAGCCCCAAACACAAACCTCATGTGCTGAAATGTCAGGCTGGAAAAGAAAGCTTGATGTTGGCAAACTACCACTTTTTTGTAGAGCAGTGGTCCCAGGACCAGCAGCATCAGCTGCACCAGGGAACTTACCGAAATGCAAATCCTGGGGCTCCACCCCAGACCTGCTGCGTCGGAGACTCTGGGGCAGGCCCGGGAATCTGTGTTTTAACACACCCTCTAGGGGATTCTGATGCACACCCGAGTTTGAGACCCGTTATCTAGACAAAGAAAATCAGCTCTAACAGGGAATTTGGAGATCACCCAGAGGAGTGCTTCTCAGACCTTAATGTGTGCAAGAATCACCAGGACAGTGATTAAATTGCATAGTCTCTTAAATTGCAGAGTCTGGTGCAGCAGGTCTGGGCACGGTCTGAGAGTCTGCATTTCTAAACAGCCCCCAGGTGCTGCTGCTGCTGGCCCAGGGACCACTGTAGAGTCACCAGGGTCCAATCCAATCCTTTTCACCCAGGGAGTTTCTAGCAACAACAGAACCAACATTGCTTTAGGTTTAAAAAACAAACAACAACAACAACAAAAAGAACAAGCAAACTAAAAAAGTCATTGCCTTCAGGGCAGATTCAAATCCATGGCTCTGGAATGCTTCCGGAGAACAGGAAATATCCAGTGCCACACATCACTGCTTTTCCAAAGTTCCGGTTCAAGTATAAAGTCTTCCCTGAGCACTTTAATTAAAATCTTAGCCCTAAGCCCGGCCCTTCCCTTCTTCCTTCACTGCTTCCTTCTTCTCTTTAGTTTCTGGCACCCTCTGCACAGATGATCTATTTTACTGGGTTGCCTACTGTGCCTCCCCTCCCCTAGCACGTAAGGTCCAGGAGGGCAGGGGTTTTGTGCGTTTTATTCGCTGTGATCTCCCTGCTGCCTAGAAGAGCTCCTGGCACATTTATGGAGTAGCTGCTCATAAACAGCTGAGTAAACGAACAAGCAGTTCTGCCCATTTTTTTCTAAAAAGCTGCCTCCCCATTCTCTGTGCCCCCTCGGTGCAATGCCATCTGTCACTCTCTTTATGCACGCACTTCAGTCCCCCCGAAATCCACTTCTCTGTAGGTGCGTCTTTCCCTAAACCCCTTGACGACGGCGTCTGTGCGTTCCCCGTTTCTGTCCCCCGTCCAACCCTTCTGTCAGCCCATCAGTGCGTCCCAAATTTTGCCCATCTTCAAAACCACGCAAAAACTGCAGGATTTGGTTCATGGAAGAGTGAATCCAAACTTCAGCTGGTGACAGCAGTAAAAATAAAGCCAGCTCATAATTACGTACTAGAGATAGCTCTAAGCTCTGTTGTAGTTAACACAAGTTCAAAATGGTTGTCGTTACACAAGTGTCAAAAAAACCACCGGAAGCATGTCGGAACGTCATAGCAACTCCGGACTCTGCTTCCACTGCTCCAGCAGCTTTTCTGAGAGCTGAGCAAAGTGGTAAGATCGACGGTAAAATCCAAACGTGGCTGGGATGCTGCCTCTTATCTAGCCATCTCTGCGCAAGGTGGAGTGAGGAAGAACGTTCTCTGACGAAACACCGTGATCGAGGGCAAGAACATTCCACTGGCTCCTTCCAGTAGCTCTATTGAGGGCACCAGCGTCAACCCACTTTGCAGACCAGAAAACTGAGTCGCGACAGGACAACAAGCCTCTCGCTCAAGCTCATACAGAGAATGCAGCAGTTGAGCTGGGGCTCAAACTCAGGTCTGGCTGCTTCCAAAGCCTGTGCTTCTCCCCCAGGTATCCCCCCCCCCC